GTTTAAATGGTATAACAATCGATATATCGCAAAGCACGCCACGCCACTGCAATCGTGATGGAAAAAAGAAGAAAAAGGTGCCGAACCCAAGCAAGATGATTCTTAAATCTACCGCCATGAAACCCTCGCTATTCTAATAAAATAAATTTTAAGACGCTCGATGAACGCGGTGAGAAAGGAGAGTCGGACGGTCCAAAGGTCGATTCCAAAGAAGGAATCAAAATTCGGAGTAAGGAGAAAGTCATTAAGAATATTGTTTGGCGGGAAATGTTTCTTTGAAACATCGTTTTGCTATTCAATTAAAATTATTTGCTCACTATAACCTCAAAAGGGCAATTAGAACGATTTTGCTGGCCGCAAAGCGGCCTTTGGGGGCCCTGGGGGTTTGGCCGCGTAAAAGGCCACGGGCCAGCCTTCTAGTAATTTTTTATTTTCAAGAATCATGCTGCTTATAATAGTTCTTCGTTTCCCGGATGAAGGAACGTAAATCCATTCTAAGGTTGCCAAATCGACTCAAACGATTCAATTTTTTACAAGGATATACCTGTGCAATGTTTGCTAAAAATGTTACTGATTTTTGCAGAAGATCGGAAGAAAACTCAGTGAAATTACCGTTTAGAAATACCCAAAATTCTCATGGTATGAATGCAATTCGCCAGGGAAAATTTGACAACATTGAAATGCAGTAACGTTCTTTCCTGTAATGACGAATTGAACCTCATTTTTTACTGAACCGAATAATTGTTTTCTTGCCCCGTACATAACGACGGTGCGGTGTGAGTCCGCAATCACATATCTCGTTTATGGTGTCTGAAAATATCCGCCTCTATGCTATTTTTTAAAGAAGAACAAATTGACATCATCCCTTGATGCCTATGCAAAATTTTCTTTGCACAGAGAAGAAAAATCACGACAGTTTTGAAGAATTGCCCTTGAGTAGTTTTCCGTTTAAAAAATAAAGTATGACAGGAAATCTGCGAAGTCGCAATCCGAGTTAAGTGATTGCCAACTTACACCGTCGATAAATTTCGAATTCGCCCAGATAGAGGTGCAAAATTACCCAACGTAAATGCACTACCAATTTCGTAAAATAGAGTCAACCTTCTCACGTGTGGTATCTACTGTTTTCAAAGCACAGTTTCCTCTTAGTACACAAGAAAAGCAAAAACAACATCCCTACAATGACATGGGAAAAAAATTATCACAATCCCACCTATATTCCTGACTGATTTTGGCACCAGTTAGAGTAGTTGCACCAACCAGACGTACGGTTAGCCGAAAGTATGGTTGGATCAACCATACCTCTGTCTGTTGTAACTACCCTTATGACTGGCGCCAAAATCAGCCAGAGGTATAATTACACTGGAAAAAAAACACATTGGATCTAGAGTCCAGACTCTTGATTCAATCAGATTTAAGCTTAAATCAAGAACCAAGCCTCTTAATTTGAGCGGATTTCCTTTTGATTCAAGCTTAAATCTGATTGAATCAAGAGTCTTTTTTCTTGTCAATGTTTTTAAGAGTCTGGACTCTAGATCCCATGTTTTTTTTTCTAGTGTAAGATTGTGTTTTTTTTTTTTCAGTGTAGTTGCCTGAGTTCCATCATCTTAAATCTGACAACTCTGCTTAGCGGGTTGCATCTTGGCTAGAGCAGGCGCTGCGGTGAACAATCGGTGCGTTATGAGTTTTGATTCTGGCGCCCAATAAGTTTCTTCGCGTCGCTGTAGGAGCTTGGTATCGTCACCGACTCCGAGCCCATAGAATAAGCGTTTTAATCCAAAATCTTGCACAGCAGCCACGGCATATTAAGCGTGTGGGCTCATTATGTGCGGCTGCAGCTTCTGGTTTGCACGCTATGTTGCCGCACTCCGATGTAAACTTTGACCTCTGAAACAAGCTGGAGTAGGTTTGAATGATTGGAATAGGTAAACTGGCGCTCTCGCGAAGACTCTGTGTTGCAGCTCGGTTTTGATGCCTTTAACGACCCTCGAAAGATGACGTCATAGATTTTGGAGCTGGGAGGAGAGGCTGATGACGTTTCCATACATAACCTTCAATTTTGACATTTCTGCGCAAAAATGTCAATTGAAAAGTCCAATCATGCACTGAAATTTGCGGCAAATGATATTTTTTCGAATAGTCTGGCATCAACGCAAAAAGAACTTAGTTAACTTTCAGCACACTCAAATTTTCGTAGATAAAAATTGCAGTATTATTGAACATTATCATGTGAAAGGAGATCTTATCAAAGTCAAATTTATTTTTGATATTTAAGATTAAGTATTGAACTTTGGAGACGCAACCAACTTGAGACAACCTTAATTTCACGCACCCAGTATACATAAAGAAGGATTGAAATTAGAATGTTCGTTAAATTTAAAGTACGATGAATTTACAACAAAAACTGAGAATTTGCGTCAAATTGTGTAAGTTGTGATCTGCCGTTCGGTGAGCGGCAATCTCATCACAGCATTACTATAAATTGCATTCGAGACAGACGCACGGAGCTCTTCATCAATGAGTGACGTCACCAGAGGTAACTGAAGTGAAAAATATGTTTACTCTTTTTAGTGGCGATATAATTATCGGCTCAAACCACTCTTCGTGAAACTACACGTCAACCATCATGACAAACGACGGAGTTGGGTAAAAAATTAGTGATGTCTCAGTCGTAGTCATTTTGATTAAATTTTTTGCGCGCGTCGATGTGCGACGATGAGATACTTTCCATGGTTTTTTTTTTTTTTTTTTTTTTTTTTTTGGTATATCATCGTTGCAACATCTAGCTTTGTCGGGGGACTTTATAGGCACCTTTTTGCTATCCCAAACTCGATTTTAGAAAATGAAAATACTTTTTTCCTCTGACCCCCTCTGAAAACTTTCTCGACCTTTGTTTAACCAATAAATGTTTCAGTCAATTTTTTACGATGATAACGCTTTAAAGTATAAATAATCGACTAAGGAGTAGAATAAGAAGAATAAAACAGATAAATTCACCTTTACGCACCGAAAGTCCGTACTATCCGAACTATCTTAACCGTGAAAATCACTTAAACGAAGTAAAATCATCAGATCATATCTACGAGTTTCAATAAAAATGAGAAAATATATCAACGCCTGTCAGCGCAATGGCAGTTTTCTGATTCATTCATCAGATTTATTCTATCTCTGACCAGGATGTATCGATTAACCTATCTTTTCCTTTCCTTTATAATTTTTAACCGTCCCATCCGCTGTCTAGTTAAAAACAACTACCCGAATGGAAGAAAAAGGAACGAAAATCAAAATCTTTGATGTTTCACGGAGGAAGCGGAACATTTTACACATCAATAGAGAAGCTGATTCCTCGAGAAGCCTGTCATGGATGTACTAGCGAAATGCCCGTGACTGGAGTCACGGGTCTAGAGACCGCTAAATTATCTATCCCCGATAAAATGGTGGTAGGGGAGTAAGACATGCCATAAAAAAAATGATAAAATCGATAGAAAAATGAGTTGAGGGGAGAAGGTGATGGAGCTAGAAAAATGAGCTGGGGGGGGGAGGTAGAATAAATGCCGCAAAAAAATTAGAACTAACCTAGCAATGATTAAAAAAAAAAATGAAAGAAAGGGAAAAAAAGAACTTGAAATAAAACATCAGCTGATAGCAAATAAAGGTTACCAAGGAAACCAAGGAATGGAACTTTCATATAAACAGATTAGTGGAAAACAGCGTAAGTATAGGTCACTTACGTTAATTATTACCGTTCATAACTAAACGGTAAGTGCGATTTAGCCAAAAATCTATACAGTTCTTTATATGACCAAAATGGACAAAATTACAAAATTTGAATAGGTTAACGTAAATCTAACGATAGTTATCGTGAACGAAAGAATTGACGACATAGGTCGGGTAACTATTATAGGTGGGATGGGATATTTTTGCCGAAAAATCGGCTCGAGAAAATATGAGGTTTTGAGTTCCCACGTTATTTTCCACGAGGAGTGAAAACGTGCGGTCGTCGCGCGTCTGATTGGCTGATGAAGAAAGCACGAGATCAGACGGTCAGGGGCTTCTACTAATTCAATGCGTATTTTTATTTTCGCTTTGGTACTCGTGTAAAAAAAACCTCTCAAGGTATGTTTTAGGGAGTAAATGTGACAACGTAGCTTTTAGCTCGGTGTATTTCCTGCTCTCCATCGGAATCCTTCCTGCGCCGTCAATATTTGTCCGGAATTTCCTCGGCGAAAGGAAGCTGTGAGGGATCACTTCAATACTTTTGACGGAGAGCAAACATCTCTTCTCCACTCGAGATTTCAAGTGGAGAGGACTCGAAGAACTCCACCCCTCTTTATCGAAACTTCCCAAGGGAATCACGTATGAATAAACACAAGATACATTGGATTTTTGCATAAATTGCGCCAATCACGCTGAGGCATAGGCTAAAAAGGCACTCATTGAAGTGCGCTAAGGAAAAAGAAAGCATGTATGCCAGAAGACGCTTGCAGTTTCATGTTGCTGAATTGAATCCAATTATACACAATGAGGATCCTTATTTCAATTTCCTCCTATCGCATATCTCATATTGAAAAATGATATAGGCGAGGAGGAATGTTGTTCCCCCTTTCATTCGGATATAAGTGGAAACAATAATTGATAGCAAGCCAATTTGGTACACCATTGATACAAAGGAAAAGAAACACGCATTACGCTCCGGATATTCTATAAAATTCAGGTTTTATTTTATTTTTACAAATGGAAACAAACTGAAAAATGTAAGAAATGTTATGGTAGATGCTTTTCGGTATTTTGCAGAAGAATGAATGTGGAACCTGACAAATTATAAAATGCTTGGTTTTCTGCCTTGGATTAAGATGTTGTGACGCAAACCTAAGTACTAATCGATACTTTTTTTTTGTTTCCCTTCTTCTTCTTCTACTACTACTACTAACGACCAAGGCATAGCCCTGTTTGTGAGGCCATCCAGTATCGTTAAAAATAAAATCTTGTAACATTAGTTTGTAGATTAGCTCTAAGCTTAAACTTAACACCTGTGTAATTAATGTCCCGTAAGGGGCAGTAGCACATTTTTATTTAATAAAAAAAGAAGAAAAAATCCAGTATCGAGCACAATAAACTATATAAAAATTGAAAATGTAATAATCACTAAAAATATCTCTTAAATATCTAAAAATCTCTTGTTTCTATCGTTTACGATATGATCATTCATGCATGATCAGCATGATGCAATTTCTTTACCCCGTTCTTTTATTCCGGATATAATTAAGGGGTGCTTCTCAAACAGAAAACCAAAAATGCTTTCCATATCGCAGTTCGTTACAATCTCTTTAAAAGCAAGGATGGAATTGATACATCAAAATCGAAACTTCCATTGACTGAAGGTGCTACCACCATGGACAAGAAACGAGGCATCATGCTTGGTGTTCTGTCGTTCACTGATGGTTTCGGACCCTTTTAAAAAGCTCTGCACCCTAGATCTGTTATCAAATTAAAGTTTCAATTAATGCTTTCAAATTTTTCACTGCAGCAGGTGTCCATATAAATAGGCACTCTTTCGTTGAACAAAATAAAGGTGTGTCGAACTTTTATATCAAAATTGATTTTTTCGGTATATATTCAGCGAGCTAAATCTGTCAGTACAATAATGATTTCCAAATTATTTTACACCGGGAATCCTCCTTAAGGTAATGAATCTTCAATGTCGTACCTTATATCAATATACGGCTTCTCTGGCTTCGCATAGTCAAGGAAGGTGGCCCATTCCGGTAACCTTTTCATGGACAGCTTGATCTCCGGACCTTGCGCAGGTTTCATTCTGAACTTCCCTATGTAAAAGAACTTAACCCCCATTGCTGGTATGAGTGGCGCCGTCAGAGGGCATAAGCTGTCCATCGTCAAAAGCGAAGGAAAAGTCCCCGTGACTTTTCCGGTCGACAAGTATTCCACGTAGTGTCTGCTGTTGCAGTAGAAAGCACTATAGTGAAACCTCGGTTTCTTCTCATCCAACAGCATCGCCGCAGCCAGGAGAACTCCTGGTGCCCCGATGTGCCCTGGCAGTTTCCCTAAGTTTATCATGAGCACATCCGGGTATTCCTCGCGCAAGTTGACGATGGCTGGTCTTATAACGCAGCGAAGACGGAAGCAGGAAGTGGGTTGGAAGACCATCACGTTGTTCTTGTCGATGGCGTACATCCATTGGAACGGTCTATGGACCCCGTAACTGTTTGGAATCCAGCTAGTGATGATGGCGTCACCTTTGTCGAATGAAAGAACTGAACCGACTAAGCCGAGGCTCCTTCGCCTACTTGGACTCCTCAGGCTACTTGAGCTACTCAGGCTACTTGAGCTCCTCGAGCTCCTTAGGCTACCCGGACTCCTCAGGTTTCGCGGACTCCCTGGGTCATTTCCTTTCATCCCTGAAATAAAATAAGCTCATGAAATTTGAATTTCCTTCACGCTGAAACTTCAGGGTGACTATACTGAACAGAAAAAGCGCGGAATGCGGAGGGACGGTACGGAAGCATGGAGGAGGTACGGGTTCTTCGGTGAAAAGGGACAGAAATTTGAGATTTTTGTGACAAACTGTAGAAAACCTGCGGTCTATATGACCTCCTAAAGTAATCCATGTATCAAAATCCCGGTTCGATTACTCGTGTTTTTCGGTTTATTCCTTCGTCATTCCATCCTCCCACTTTCTCAATCCGAGTAGAGTTAAAAATGTATGTGGGATAAGGAAAAAGTAAGGGAAAGGTGAGGGAAAAGCAAGAATTTTTGAGAATCGCCAAAAAGGAATTTTCGGGAAAATAAGGAAAAAGCAAGGAAATGGTACTTAAAAAGCGAGGAAATGGTACTTAAAAAGCAAGGGAATGACAGGGCACTAGTAGACACCCTGAACTTTGACTATACCTTGGAGATAATGTCTGAAACCGTCCAAAAGATCACACAGTTTACACGGTGCGTGGTGATATTCGATTGGTTATACTCTTAATAAATCCTGAATTCTCCTGAATCACATACGCCAATTATTGTTGCATTTTATTTTCCCAACTGATAAATATGTAATCTCTCTAACGATTTGTATTATGATTGTGGCTCGCAGCCTCGAAACATGGGAGCTGATCCCAGATGGATCTATTTTTCCTCGTATGAGTCAATTACATTCAAAGTAAAGCTGTCATCGGTGGTTTGTTTGATAATACGCAATTTGAATACAAAAGTTTTCAAGTATAAAGTACGTCTACAGCTAATTTACCCTTGAAGAAAAGAAAATCTCTTTACAATTTATGACAAAAAATTATAACCACTTTTCAGCATGTCTTCTTTCGTCCTATAACTTAATTTTGAAAAATCTCGGACAAAATCAGACCGCCACATATGCAATTAAAATGTACCTTGAGCTATCGTATTTTGTCTCAATAGAATATGCAATAGAAATGCAGCAGTAGCGTGGCGAGCTTTGCGATTTATCAACTGATCGGCCATTTAAACCTATGGAAAAGGATCGATAGACAGGGTGTTCGCAGCGAATTTGCCCTCCATATTGATGGAATCCAAAGAATGTTGAACCTCCAATAATGAACGCACACCTGCTTCTCTCAATCGCACACTATAAAGTTACTTTAACAGTGATCTCATTCTTGATGATCGAAGTCTATAACCAGATTATTGTTATGCTCGTACATGAGAAATTTACATCTAGAAAAATGTGCAACTAGAACAGAAATAATATGGTTATTTTAAAAAATCGCATGAACATATGATGCAATCGATGGCTTAAGGATTTTTGATGTGATAACCTTAGTCGCTGTTGTAAGCACTCCACTTTTCTGATGAGGAAACAACATGATATGACAAATAAAAAAAACGTATAGCACATGCATTTATCATTCTTAACAATTTCACAAAATTATCACGATCTTATAACATAGTAAATGCTTATTTTTGAAATGAAGGTGATAAGTAGAACCAAGGTTTGTGGTAAAAATTCTATAATAACTATGGTACCTTTCGACTTACACAATCATCACAGCATTTACAAAACTTGAAACATAAACGTAATCACAGTTTGAATTTTTTTACGACATTTCACAGATACATTTATGATAGAGTCGAAATTATAAGAACGTCATAGATTCTAAGAGAAATCGAACAATTCGAACAAAATCAGTTTTCGCTGACTTTACCTGCAAATTCCTTGCACAGAAAGATGAGGAGAAAAAAACAAAGGTGACCACGAACCACAAATCGTAACTCCATCACTTTGAGTGAGATGGGTTCAGACGACAATTTCGCTAAAGTTGTCGCTTTGAAACGTTTTAAAGGCTAGGATTTGAACTTTTTCCCTCCGTTTTCACCGTTGTCACGAGGTGATTGACAGTTTCGTCTGCAAAAACTGACGAACTGTACATGTCTGATCTGAAAAAAAAATTTGAAAAACTCCAAGAATTGAATTCATTACGAGTTTTTCACATTTTTTTAAACGCTGCTGTTCAAGGTTAAAAAAAATATACTGTGATGGAATGGAAATTGAAAAACACGAATACTCGCGACTTGTGGGTAATCCGAGGGGCGCAGATGACCTTCGACTCGAAACCAACAAGGTTCCGCGCGCCGCGTCAACTTTGAAAACTCTTAACCTCGCTGCTAATCGTTTCTCCAAGGTGAACTTGGTTCTGTTTTAAACCTTAAACTCTGTAATTTCATTTAAGATTGTTTTTGTTTTTCTCCTTGCAAACCGAACGACGGAAAATTTTGAACAACGAAAATTTATGAGAAGGGAACCTTGTATCAAAGGAAAACAAGTTCGGTAAAACCGAACTAGTTAGGGTGATATAGAAGCAGGTTTTCTTCGGTAGGTACACACAACCGAATTATTCATGCAGTTTGCTGAATCAGACTGTTCAGTCTGCTGAACCGAACTAAAGAATTTTTTATAGTTTTTATAGTTTTTACAGTTCGGTTGTACAAACCGAACAGTCCGGTTGAACGGACCGAATAGCTCGGTTGTGTGTACCGAACAAAACCTGGTTCCATATCATCCGAACTTTTTTTTCAGCGACGATCCTCCCAAAAGAAGGTCAAAATCTGAAATATCATTAATTCCATACTTCTGTATATTCTGATAGCCCTCATTTTTCTAGAAATTTTACCCCATGATGATATTTTTACAACAAACCGTTGAGAAGTAATGCTGCTTGAATGTTTATGACTTTGCCCCCACTCTTCTCCCTTTTTCATGGGGACTGAGCAAAAAATAGAACCAGGTTTGATTTGTGTGGTTGTGGGAAGAGCCTCTTTCATTTTTCATGCCTGAGAAAATTGTAGGATTGATCTATTCGATACAGCAAACGGGTGGGATTGTATCGATATAGATTGGGTCAAAACTTAAACATAGCCTCAAAAGTCAATTAAATAATCTGACAGAGCGGGTTTTTTGTGATAGATTTGTGATTCGAATGAACACTAATTGGCCAAGAGTCGTGAAATCGCTGCAAAATTTCTCATTTTCAGCTTTCCTGACTTGTATCCTAAAATTTTGGTTCGAGATTATGTTCTATTGTTTTGAACCAAATGATACATCGAATACAATCCGTTCAGTGCACCGTGTTTAGGCCGATTTGGCCGAAAAATAGAGAGATCCTTTCGTGATGCAAATGGCGAGGTTCAACAACACCGTTTCGAGATATTTCACGGGCCGTCGACGAAGAGTGCTTGCGGTATTGACGTGATTGCTTTTCAATTAAGTTAATGCACGTAGGAAATGGAAATTATGACGTGATAACAGGGCGTATTTAGCTATCGAGCCTTTTAATGGAAAAATGCAATTTTGAAATCATGTTAAAACGTAGAGACATGATAAAGTACTCCGGAGAGGCAAGTTGGAACAGCTATATTCTAGTGGCAAAAACTCGATTAAATCACGCACAAAACGAACAGGAGGACCGCCGCGCCGTAGTGGCTCTCAATGGTACTACAACGACGAGAGATGCGACAGAGATGATTCATTTTAGCTGAATTTAGTTAGGTATACATGGCTAAAATTGCATACCCAGATCTGCTCTGTAACCCTCTAAACTGTGAGAACATTTCTTTTAGGATGGCATTATTGGGCGATCCAGTACCCTACCCAGAAAACCTTCTAAGTAGCGCTAAGGTGCCCTTAAGGTGCGCTGAGGTGCGCTAAGCGCAATTTAGCGCTAACTAGCGGATAACTTTTTAATCGCTAACCGGAAAATTTCCCACCGGTAAGATGCTTCCACCGGATGAGCAAGCAAACGGGTGCCACACACGGGAGGGATGAGGCGCCCAAAAGTGAGGCTCTGCTGCGCGCGCACGTCGCATGTTTGGATTGTAATTTCGCGGCAGATTCGAACCCAAGGGGCGAGTTCCATAATACATTCTTCTCAAATGCACAGTATTAAAGTAAAAAAAGTCCAGAGTTTTAATCACGATTACTTTAATTAAATTTAACCTCTCGTAAATCCATACGTAAAAAGGGTTTCCTTCTCCGTAAATTTTAACAGTTTTATAGTGAGTTTAGTGATTAAAATTTACAATTTTTAGGAGATTTTTTAAAGTTCTTACTACAAGGGAATGTCTTGGCGAAGATTCTTTACTTTAACTCGCTTGCTCTTGACTTTCACATGGATGAAGCTAGCAGAACTTTTCGTGGAAGGGAGGGGGAGGATACGCTCCCAGGTCGCTCCCTCAAAAAAAGAAGAAAAACCGCAACAATGATGCTGTGGGATGTTTCTTGTGGGGGGGGGGGGGAGCCTCTCGAGAAGGACTGGGCAGTGGGCTCCTCTGATGCCAGCTTTGCTCTCTCTCTCTGATATTTTGGTACCCTGCTACGAAATTTCTTTTCCATTTTACTGTTAGCCTTTCATCCTTACTGCTACACGAATTGTTAATTTGAGAGAATAAGATTGAAGGAAATTCATTTGTGAGCTGTCTGGAAAAGAGAATTGGACGTATTTATGCTACAAGGAAATATGTGCAAATGAGTGAAAGCAAAAAGATTTTTCAAAAGAAATTCAAAAGAAAAGCAAAATTCAAAATGTAATAATTCATACAAATTACGAATTCAACAAATATTGCCATTAATACTTTAATCATCACTTAATCAGAATACTGCTTCTTGAGCACACTGATGGCCTAAGTCCAAAAACATGCATTTTGGATTCAAGACGTTAGTCATTTTCCAACATGTTTATTTTTTCTAAGGAGAAATGATCCCAGTTTTCTCTTTTAATTTCCGTTGATTTCTCTTCAAGACAGAAAGAATATCCTGTAAAAATTTCAGACGTTTTTCTGCAAAGATACTCAGGAGACACATACATTTATTAAACTTAGTAATTGAGGTAGGTACCTATGTGTTTCTAAATGTAGGTACGCTATAGCAATAGACTTATGCCTATAATCATAATTATAGCGGGTGCAGGTACCTATTGCTTTTATCGAGGAAATATTGTTTGAGATTTTTGAAGCTTAAGGATTTAGAAAAGAGACGAGAAAGTGCTAAAGTAAAATTGAACGTATTTATGCTGAGAAGAATTATGCGAAAATAAATCGAATCAAGAGGATCTATGTGCATAGGGCTCACAAGCTACACTAATCTTTTTGCTTTCACTCATTTGCACATATTTCCTTGTAGCATAAATACGTCCAATTCTCTTTTCCAGACAGCTCACAAATGAATTTCCTTCAATCTTATTCTCTCAAATTAACAATTCGTGTAGCAGTAAGGATGAAAGGCTAACAGTAAAATGGAAAAGAAATTTCGTAGCAGGGTACCAAAATATCAGAGAGAGAGAGCAAAGCTGGCATCAGAGGAGCCCACTGCCCAGTCCTTCTCGAGAGGCCCCCCCCCCCCCACAAAAGAAACATCCCACAGCATCATTGTTGCGGTTTTTCTTCTTTTTTTGAGGGAGCGACCTGGGAGCGTATCCTCCCCCTCCCTTCCACGAAAAGTTCTGCTAGCTTCATCCATGTGAAAGTCAAGAGCAAGCGAGTTAAAGTAAAGAATCTTCGCCAAGACATTCCCTTGTAGTAAGAACTTTAAAAAATCTCCTAAAAATTGTAAATTTTAATCACTAAACTCACTATAAAACTGTTAAAATTTACGGAGAAGGAAACCCTTTTTACGTATGGATTTACGAGAGGTTAAATTTAATTAAAGTAATCGTGATTAAAACTCTGGACTTTTTTTACTTCAATACTGTGCATTTGAGAAGAATGTATTATGGAACTCGCCCCTTGGGTTCGAATCTGCCGCGAAATTACAATCCAAACATGCGACGTGCGCGCGCAGCAGAGCCTCACTTTTGGGCGCCTCATCCCTCCCGTGTGTGGCACCCGCAAGCAAACGGCATCTACAGTGATCTTTTGGTATTATCTGGAGAAATTATGTAAACAAGGAAATCTTGGACGCGCAAAAATTAATGGCCCACCATTACTCGCATCAGAAACCGGCTTCGTTGTTTCGGGCTACCGTAAAAGTGTTGCACCTTTTCCCTGATAAGTTGTGTTTTCGTCAAGTTGTTGACTGCATGTAATAGCAATGCAATATTCGTAAGATTTTTAATTGCATTTATCTCCAGAAATTTTGAAGTGCGTGCGAAGAACAGTTACAGTTTACGTGAACATCGAAGCACCGAAATACCTAAGTGCATTTACATTCGGCCTGAAGTACCTAGCATTATGATACCAGCATGTATATACCTACTGTTGGCACCTTAGCGGCAGGAAATTTTCCGGTTAGTGGTTAAAAAGTAATCCTGTGAAGGCACCTTAGCGCTTAGCAATAGTAATTTTTCCGGTTAGCTGTTCAAAACTCATCCGTTGAAGGCACCTTAGCAGTGGGAAGTTTTCCGTTTAGCGGTCATAAAGTTATCCGGTAAAGGCACCTTAGCGATACTTAGAAGATTTTCTAGTCAGAGTATTGTACCCCCGAATAACGTTTTATTCGACGGTACCTTACCACCGAATAACCACTTCGTTTACTTTATTGTAGAATAAGAATAACATGAGACGTTAATACATTCGGATGTAATTTTGAAAAAGAGTCATTGGTTTCCTCGAAAATAGTGTGGCTGGTGGAAGAAAGTCAATTTTCAAAAAGGTTTTTCACAAATATTTCTTGTTGAATTATGCGACAGTTCATTTATTTTACTTAGAATTTCAGATTTTGCAATAACATCGTCATCCCATTGTAAACACTTACCTCAAGATGAAAACAAGAAGCTGCAACAACCTCATTTTTTTCTCTACGGTT